TCAGCTTGGAAGAAGAATAGGCAAGCAGACTTTGACAGAGGATCATATGAACTTATGAAGGTGCCCTTTACTGAAATTAAAATCTGCATTCCTGAGGACTGGAAGGTAGCTAATGTCACTCCCATCTTTAAAAAGGGTTCCAGAGGAGATCTGGGAAATTACAGGCCAGGCAGTCTGACGTCAACCGGGTAAGTTGGTGGAAACTGTTATTAAGGAAAGAATTAGTAGGCACATTGATGAACAAAAACTATTAAGGCAGACTCAGCATGAGTTCTGTAAGGAAAGATCTTGTCTCACTAACCTGTTAGTGTTCTTTGAGGAAGTGAACAAACATGTGAACAAGGGGGACCCAATAGATGTTGTTTACCCTGACTTCCAGAAAGTTTTTGATAACGTTCCTCATCAAAGGCTCCTAAGTAAGTCCTTTTGTGGATCAAAAACTGGCTAATTAGTAGAAACAGAGAGTGAGTATAAATGGGCAATTTTCACAGTGGAGGGTGGTAAGCAGTGGGGTTCCACAGGGATCAGTACTGGGTCTGATGCTTTTTAACTTGTTCATTAATGATTTGGAGTTGGGAGTAAGCAGTGAACTGGCTAAATTTGCGGATGACATGAAATTGTTCAGGGTGGTGAAAACCAGGGAGGATTGTGAGGCACTCCAAAGGGATCTGTCAACGATGGGCGAGTGGGCGTCAACATGGCAAATGGGGTTCAATGTGCCAAGTGCAAAGTGATGCACATTGGGGCCAAAAATCCTAGCTATAAATACACTTTGATGGTGTTCGAACTAGTGGAGACTGACCAAGAGAGAGATCTTGTAGTAGATAACTCACTGAAAATGTTGAGACAGTGTGCGACTGCAATAAAAACGGCCAACACTATGCTGGAGATTATTAGGAAGGAAACTGAAAACAAATCAGCCAGCATCATAATGCCCCTGTATAAATCGATGGTGCAACCTCATTTGGAATACTGTGTGCAATTCTGGTCACCCCACCTCAGAAAAGATATTATAGCACTGGAAAAAGTGCAGAAAAGGGCAACTCGAATGATAAAAGGGTTGGAACACATTCCCTAAGTGCTTGGGGCTCTTTAGCTTGGAGAAACGATGACTGAGGGGTGACATGATCGAGGTTTACAGGATTATGGATGGGACAGAGCAGGTAGAGAAAGAAGTACTTTTCTCCCATTCTCACAATGCAAGAACTCATGGGCATTCAATGAAATTGCTGAGCAGTTGGGTTAGAATGGATAAAAGGAAGTACTTCTTCACCCAAAGAGTGATTAACACATGGAATTCACTGCCACAGGAGTTGGCGGCGGCTACAAGCATGGATGGCTTCAAGAGGGAAATGGATAAACATATGGAACAGAGGTCCATCAGTGGCTATTAGGTATACATAGGAACTCTTAGTCTGGGGCAAGTGATGCTCTGTATTCTTGGTGCTTGGGGGGCAGCAACCGTGGGAGGGCTTCTAGTGTCCCAGCCCCACTGGTGGCACCTGGTATTTGTGACCATAGTGTGACAGAGTATTGGACTGGATGGGCCATTGGCCTGATCCAACATTGGCTTCTCTTATGTTCTTATGTTAAGTAGACCATTGGTCTATCGCAGTATCGTCTAATAAGACTTGGCAGTGGATCTCCAGGGTCTCGGGAAGAGGTCTTTCATATCACCTACTCACTAGATCCTTTAACTGGAGATGATGTCAAGGACTGAACCTGGAACCACCTGTATGCTAAGCAGATGCTCCGCAACAGAACATGGTTCCTCCTCTCTTCATTCAAATACACTACCAGCAGTGCGACATTCAGCAGTGAAAAAGTGGTAGGTATCAAGGTAAGTAGTCAAATGTTCAAACTGAGGTGGCAACAACATTTTCTGGTGAAAGGGGCAAGTACAGAAGCAGCCCAGAACAGCAGTGGCATGGAGGAAGTTGGCCTTCCAACTGTTTTGGGTTTTACACCTTTGCTTTAAAGCTGCTCCGTTATCAAAGGCCACATCATTTATTGGATGAAAGGATATAGAACACTTGGACAGCAGCTCTACATGAAAGGAAGACCCAAAGGCAATAACATCTCAGCTCTAGCTATAGAACCAGGTTAGCTATTCTTGTCGATGGCTGAAATTACAAGTGGTGCAGTTAAAATGTTTGAAGTTATATTTTAAAGATATCAAATTTAGGCGGAAAGGAGCAGCTGTCACATGTGCAGCATCTGAACTAAAAGCTACATTTATTATTCATTTCCACCGAATTTATTCCCTTCATTTATCTCCCTGCCAAACTCCAGTTGAAACAGGCTTTACCTTTTCACCACCAGCTGCCACTGCTGGCCGTGGATGGAGCACATTTCTGAGAACTGTGAGGAAAGAAAACTCTGACAACACTGTCCCCTCCAGGGAGCATTCATGCCAATTAAGCATTTGCAACAACCACGACTGAGTTGTAGCAACAGGGAATCCTTTCCCACAAGTTAGGGAAATAAATTAAAGATAAACTGATATTCTTAAAACATCATGTCTTTCATGAACAGTCTCTGATCACTCTGCCTTTCCAATGTTCAAATTAATATCCTGTAGGAAAGTCTTAACTAGGGATGGGCACGAACCAGCTCACGAGCCAAAATTCGGCACAAACTTGGACCAGTTCAGAGCTTCTGAACATCTACCAAACTTTTGTCTGGTTCGGCTGTTTGGACCATTTAAACCTAACAGCCGAGCAGTGCAGGTCCACAGATGACCGGTTAGGTTTAAATGGCTGTGAGTATAATGCTATGTCCTATGTGTGGATGTGCACACAGGCATCAGCAACCAGACTTAAACCTGCTGGGAGCTGCAAGGAACATAACTGAACAAGTGAAAACATTCCACATTTAAACATAACCTTTGTATGTCAAAACGTTAACTAGTCATGAGGCTCATTTGACACCAAAAGGACTAATAAAACTTCTAAGGTACTATTGCATACAAATTAAACAGAAACGTTTAGGACAGACACTCTACTGGCACAAATAAAGTGAGTTACTTGGGGCTGTTCAGATTCTGCTTTTCCCTCCTCACCTCCACATGTAGCAAGAATGAGAGGTACTCTAGTGTAGCCCACTCCCCAGGCTCTCCTGCACATCCCACACTGCATGGGGGAAAGTAACAGCTGTGCAAAGAGATGCCATATGTTTGACTGCAAGATCCAATGGTGCAGTAATTACTTCCTGTGTGTGGATCTAGCACCTGTGTTGCCATGCAAGCCTATCAATGTGTTTTTATGAAATATGAACTGTGCAAAGGGACTGTACAACATGGAGACCTGAGAATACCTGTTGAGACTGCACACCTAAGAAAGGGACACCTTCCTTTAGTGTTGCTGCCACAGTGATAGTCCAGAGCAGTGTTCCCTCTAAGCTGAGTTAGGGTGAGCTAGCTCACAGTTTTTAAGCCTCCGGCCCACAGATTCTCGCCTTCGCTCAGGAAGGATGGCTCCAGAGCAAACTAATTTACACAGTAGCCAAATCACTTGCTCACAACTTTACTGTTGGTAGCTCACAAAGCAGAATTTTTGCTCACAAGACTCCACAGCTTAGAGGGAACATTGGTCCAGAGTCACCAGACATCTCACCTGCTGTGAAATGAAGCAGTTCCATAAGCCTTCAATATTGACCACTCCTTAGTCCCCCTCCCCTCTTCCAGCCAGCCAATAGTATGTTTTATGGGACAGACTAACAGAAAGTGTCACAGGGGGATGTAACCTGCCTAGCTGGCCCCCAACACCACCTTATAAAAGATACTGCCCGACCACATGGTCTCTCTCTTACTTACCCTCTCCACGACCCCTATCGAAGCTTTAACCCTCTTATGTCCAGCTTGCTATCCACATACCCTACCTCCATTTTTAACCTCTAGTCTGCAGCTAGAGTCCACGTGGTTCTGCTGGTTCAGAGCACGTGTTCACCTTTTTCTATTTCTAAACCTCTCCATTCTTCCATTGGAACGGCTCAATTAATGAAGACAGGTAAATATTGCCCAACCATCGAATATCCTGCTAAAGCAACTGTGTTAAGGATCTATCTTTATTTCTTAGCATATGTATAAATGTGTGTGTATTTGTGTACTGTTTGAATGATACATGTCCTTCAGTAAAAAGACATTATATTTTACTGAATACAGTCTCTGTGTCTGTTCTGACACTTGCAGCAAAGGTGGGATTTCTGTATACATTGGTGAGAACCTGAATTTGCCTATTGCCAATTAATAATCATAACTTCCCCTAGACAAATTAATAATTCAAGGCAATTTGGCTAACACCTGCTCCTGGACTCTATGGGCATGGGGAGGGAGGAGGAGAGGGGAGAGTATACACAGGTCCTACAGCACACCCAAAGCGGTCAACATGGTATCACCTTGAAAAACAAAAGCATTTCTGCCAATAACTTAGAGAAGCACCTGAAAGAATCAGGACTAGCTCTGTATAAATTCAGGAACATCACACACAAAAATGAGCTACCTTAAATTTAACAAGTTTTGATGTCACCTTTACTTATCCATAAGGCTTGTTCTTAACAAAATACACAGATGTAAAAGCTTGGATCCTGCCTCCATTTCCATGGCCACAAGGGGGGATGGTTTTCACCAATCCCCCCTCCCAACGGAGATCGTCAATTACCCCCCTAAGTGATTCCTGGAGATTCTCTATCCCCCTGAAACAGCCTTTCAGGAAGATATTGGGGGGGGGGGGATCTGTAAAAATCACCCCCCACACACTCACATACACACCCCTGCAGAAATCTAGGTGGGATTCAACCCAACATTTTGAAGAGCTGCTATGAAATCGGGACCAACCTCCACTGTTTACGAAGTTGCTCTTATCAGGAATAGCTGATCGTGAACCTAAGGGCAAACTGATTTCTCAGGTCCAAACCAGAAAGGAATCTTAGACCAGATTATTATGACTTAAGTGTCTAATGCCATCAGAGTGGAAGGAGATCAAATGGCATCATTTTCTCACCTTGGCTTGTTCTGTGGCAATGTCTTAGCGTCAACTGCAAACATTTTGGACACAAAGACAATGACCGGGGCAGTTTCTTCACTGCTGCATTTCATAAACACTAAGCAAACATAAAATGAAAGAGTTACACGTCTTTCCAGGGTCTGATGACAGAATCTCTGGTATTCTACACATTTGTCAAAAGACAAGCTACTAAGTGGCTCCAAGAGCACAACTGACCAGATTTCAAAACTAAACATGTTTTAGGACACTAGTTTACATTCTGCTACAAGAGTTTATGATATCAACTCCCTCTTTCCCACCAGCAATTATGGAAAGAGACCCACTTGAATGGGACTTCCAGTTACTCAAAGCCTTTTCTTAAAGTACACCTTTCAATTGACTTGCTAAGATTTACTCACCGTCTTTCAGATCCTGAGTTTCTTGTGGAAAAAAATCAAACGCTTTCGCTCCAACAGACATCAGCTTTTCCACTCTCTCCACAGTGATATCAAGAGGACTAGGAAGTTTCTTACAGACCATCGCTAAATTGCAGAGTTAAGGATACACAGTTATGGTAGCTGGACCCATTCATTAATAATTTCGGCTAGTTCCACTTTTAAAAAATTGTGCAAAAAGCATAGCCAAGTATCCAGTAATTTGTGGTGCACCGAACAAAAGGGCTCCCATAAAGCTAGGGCTTCTCATTAGAAAGTCCTGACGTGAAAAAGAATCCAGGGCTCTAGCAGAAAGTTTCTGAGAGGTATTAGGAAACTCATGGGGAGTGGGGTGGGATTAGGAATTCCCCAGTGATTAAGTCCACACACTGCAGCTCCAGCTCCCCCCCCCCCATATGGTTATGGGAATAACTCCAATAGGCAGGAGGTTGCCCAACAAAACTCTGATTCTCCCCCACCCCCCAACTTCGTTCCTTCGCTGGACTCCAAGGAAACAGTATAACCTTTCAGCAAACTGTAAACAGCATTTCCTTCAAGGATACAGAGAACAGCCTGGGATATTGGCAGCCACTGACTACAAATGGCATTAAGCTGAACTTTTGGATCTGTGTGGCGTGATTCACGAGCACCAATTTTCAGTCCCAGTGAGGAAACTATTTTATCTATTTTTTCCTTATCTCTGAAAAAAAATCACAGGGGGAGACAGAGATGCAATTATAGTAATGCAGCAAACTACCTATTTTAGCACACAAATAAGGGGGCAGGGATCCTCGAGCTCACTGGTCAACTAGGAATAGATCAGCTATGGTATTAACAGAAAATATAGTCTTCCTGATCCATGCCACGACAATCCATAACCAGCTGTGAGTTGTGGGTCACCCCACTCCCGCACCTTCAGATGACAGATCCCACTATGACTTTGTTTGGCATAAATAACAAATATCCAGAAGTGGAAGATGTGACCAAATGGTAAGAGTGTGAGACTAAGATCTAGGAAACCCAAGTTGGAAACCCAACTCTTCTCATGGAAGCTCGCTGGATGACCTTAGGCCAGTCACATGATCTCAGCCTAGTCTTATCTCACAGCGTTGCTGTGAGGATAAAACAGAGGAGTGGAGAATGACGTCAGCTGCTTTGGTTCCCCTCTGGTGACAAAGACAGGCTATAAATAAGTAAGGGAGCAATAGCATCAGATCCAGGAGTATTCCTCTTACTTTTTCGTAACAGCTTCATAGAGGCTCCATATATTGTCCAGCACCAGCTGCACAAACAGAGGCTTCTTCCCTTTTGACTAGAAGAAAGCAACATGTTATTATAGGGTGGATCTGGTGATGGCCATTGGTTGAGATACATTTTAAAGGGGGCTGGACCAATCTATGGAAGACAGGCTGATGTCTGGCTATGAGCCACGGAAGTGGAATGAGACCTCCAGATTCAGAATGCCCCAACTGTCCAATGCTGGGGAGCAGTCAGCAGCTGAAGGCTGTGGCCCTGCTTGTGGGCTTCCCTGAAACATTTGACTAGCTATCGGTGGAAACATAAAACAGAGGAGTGGGAGGAGGAGGAGGAGAAGAGGAGGAGGAGGAGATTGGATTTATACCCCACCCTTCATTACCCAAAGGAGTCTCAGAGCGGCTTACAATCCTTTTCTATTCCCCTCCTAGGCAGACCACTGGCCCAATCAGCAGTTCTTATCCAGTGGATCTGTTTTGCAAGTGGTAGGGCTTTCCTCTGACCCAACAGGCATTCTGATCTGCAGGATCCACCTCAGTAGTCCCCCCCCCCCAGAAACTAGATGCTAGACCCAGTCCACTGTGAACAAAAAGCTCATGGAGGAATATCCTTAGGGTACAACAGAACATGGACTCCCCTCCACCCATGCACTGCCATGGTACAAGGCTATGACAGGGAATGGGAAGCCTATATGTGCTTCCCACAACTTCCTCCAATCTGTCCCTTGCACAGTGTTGGGTATACACCTACTCAGCAATCCGCCAGTGGAGGCTGTTGACTCTGACAGCATCAAATCACTTGTTGTCAAGGGAAGGGGGAACTAAGAAGGAAGAAAAACCAAAATGGGTTGGGAGGGTCTGAAGCTCAGTGGAAGAGCATCAAGTTTGCATGAAGAAGGTCCCAGGCTCAATCCCCGGCATCTCCAGTTAAAAGGATAACTTAGTCGGTGATGTGAAAGACCTCTACATGAGACCCTGGAGAGTCACTACCAGTCTGCATAGATAATACTGACTCTGCCAGACAGATTCCATATAATGTAGCTTCATGTATGGGTGACTGTCTAGCTGCAGCTTTGTGTGCTGCTCCTAATGCCACAGCAAGAGAATCCATGGATGGGCAGCATTTGCTGAACCAGGGCAACTGTTTTTTAAATACCTGCTCTTCAAATATGAGACGGCACTTCTGTCTATTTTAATCAACTGCTTGTCAGTCCATTTGCAAACATTTCGTAGGCATGAACACAAAGATAATAGCAATGAGTTTTAGGGTCTGCTAAAGAAGAACTCAGCAATACTACCTGGTCGCTTTTCATAATCTTCTTGGCCTTCGTATTCAAGTAATAGTCTCCCCACAAAGTCTTCAGCAATACTGATTGCTTGATTCCAATCTTCTGGCTATACAGCTTTGCAAAATGCTCAATGCTGCAAACAAAGCAAGCAAGTTCTTGAAACAAAAATGTCTAAATAAAGACTAAGCTTTTCACAACAAGGCATCTGCGTCAACCTGCATAGTCACCATATAACACATTTGACAAATGGAGATACGTTCTGCCTAGGAAACAGATGGTTGCATAATGTTGAGGCAGCATGAATTAGTTGATGTATGGCATCTCCAGACACACTCTGTTCTTTTACTAAGTGTCAATATGCCAAAAAACAACAATACTTGACCCACTTTATGGTGACTAGGACTCATTCACATACTCTACAAATGCAGTTCCCATGAAAACCCGCATGTGTGAATGAGCCACCACATATCTAAAACCATAACACTGGCAATCAATGCAATGTTTAGAGTCCAATAGCACCTTTAAGATCAACAAAGGTTTATTCAAGGTATGAGCTTTCGTGTGCATGCACACTTTTTCAAATACAGTAGAATGGAAGGTAGAGTTCAAACTTATAGCCAGAGAATGAACAGCAACTTAACATGCAACATGAGGATGATCAAGATATGCAAAGTGACACTAAATAACAAGTTAAGGTTATAAGGTCAACAGTTGTAAAGCAATAAATATGTCAAAGTAGCAGATGAATGTCTAAAGGTGTCTTTTCTAATCCTGGGAAGTGACTGGGAATCTTTATTCTCTCCTGTCGGGTGGGGAGGGCATTTAACATTACACCCCCCTCCAAAAATGCTGCTATGTCAGCAGACATCCTAATATCCCTTGCATACATTCAGTATTCTAATATACTATCATGAAAAAGAAATACACTAAAATACATTAAAAACTAAGGACTTTTAGTCCTTCTTGTTGAGAATACATATGTGAGGACTGAATTAGCATATGTAATGAGATAAAAATCCAATATCCCTGTTGAGTTCTGGGGAGGTTTTTGTTCCAAGTGCTGTAATAACCTGTAATTCAGCAATTCAGCATGATAATTTACTGTTCATCCTCTGACTATAAGTTTGAACCTAAAGGTTCCATTGGACTCTAAATTTGTTGTACTGCTTCAGACCAACATGGCTGACCAACTGGATCAATGCAATGTTTGTTTGCTTTCCCCTTCCCCATTTCATCCTAACAAGCCTCCTGTGAAGCAGGTTAGGCTGACAGTACCAAGGTGACCCAAGCAAGCATTCATGGCACAGCAGAGACTTGAACCCGGGTCTCTCAGATCCTACTCCCCCACTCTGACCACTACACCACACATGAAGACAACTCAAGAAATAAAGAGTCTTAACCGGTGGTGGTGGTGCTGCCAACTTATGGCAACCCTGTGGAGTTTTGAAGGCAAGAGACATTCAGAGGTGGTTTGCCACTGCCTGCCTCTGCAGAGCAGCCCTGCACTTCCTTGGTGGTCTCCCATCCAAGTCCTAAGCAGGGATGACCCTACTTAGCTTCAGAGATCTGACAAGATCAGGCTAGCCTGGGACATCCAGGTCAAGGAATATAAATCTTACATCTCACCCAAGTCTTCAAGGCTTAGAATAAATTCAAATGATTTGTCCACTAGTTTCTAATTTTTCCTTCATTCAAATCAAATTAGTGGTAATTTTTCTACCCATCATCAATATATTCTATCAGCTTCTGTTCAAACAGAAAGTGAATACATCTGGGGGATCCTAAGGGCCTGCTGTATGTTTATTATTTCAGAGCAAAATGGAGTTAGGAGACTGAAGAAGCATATCAAGGTTGCTCCAGGAAGAGATTTTCCATTTCAAGGGATTTATAACTGTAAGCACACTTTGCTGGAAGTAGTCCTAATGAAATCCAAGTTCTCAAAACAACTCCACTGGTTACCAACAAGTTTCTGGCCTCAATTTCAAGTGCTGATAGTTAGGTAGATTGCAAAAGAACATGGCAAAGGCCATTACAAAATTGTTTTAAGCAAAACAAATACAGAAGATGAGAAACAACACAGGTTGCCAACCAAAAACACTTCATCCTACCTGAGCAAACACAATTGTTAAAATATTCCACACTCTAAAAACAAGTTATTTTGTTAAGAGTGATTTTTAGACACAACTTTTACATGAATTTTCTGGGCAGCCAAAGCAATTTAAAGTGCTGGTTTTAGCCTTTAAAAACAGTCTGGGCGTGTGAGGCTGCACCCTATTGGCTCTTCTGGAAGAACAGGAAAGGAACTCTTTTGCCCACTGAAAAGCCTATTTTGGGGATCATGAGACCCTTGTGGACAGAAGTCACATGGGATGGGAGTTGCTATGAGGAAGGGAATTAGACTGGACAAGCTGGCAAGATCCAGCCCATAAGCTGGCAAGATCCAGCCCATAAGGAGCACCTGCTCCCAAATACCTCCCCCCCCCAAGCGGCAAGTTGTCCCCAATTTTTACTGTTGTCTATCAAAAAAAAAAAATTGGAACAACTCAGCTTTTGCACAAGCAGTAATTATGTGTACCACTCTGAGCATTCAATTGGCTCATTAGAAAAACCCAACAAACCAACAGGTATTTGGTAACTCACCCAAAGCCCCAGCCATCAATTGCACTGGCAAATACCACGTTTCCCTGATCTGGAGAAAAGTAAAGGTGCGAATCGTCGGTACATTCCAAACCCGCACTCCAGTCGTATACTTGGTCTCTAAGAGCAGAATCAGAAGTCAACTGAGTTTCCATATCCTTCTCAGCCCTTTCTTCAAGCACTTTAGAAGTGAAGAGAGTCGCAGTGATGGCATTCACCTAAAGAATACATTCCTTAGATTTATTTCTAGTTTTATATTGCCATCTATTGGTCCCTAATAGGCTCTCATGGTGGTTGACAGGAAACCGCACCCCCTCAGTTTTATTTTGTAGCACATAAAATACAGCAGCATAACTCCAACTATGAGTACTAACACAGAGAGCAGCAGTGCTAGCAAAAGCAAAACAGTAAGTGCCCCCCCAGATGTCTAACCAAGACCCCCAGAAATAAAACTGCTTCACTAGCTCCCTAGAACTCTAAGCAGTGGAGCCAGCAGGCCACCCTGTTCTAGTCATTTACCTATTTGTACTCTGCCTTTCTCCTGCAAGCAAGACCCACGGCAGCTTGCAATAAATATCACTTGGCACAAATTCTGGTGTTGGTGGAGGAAAGTGCTCTCGAGTCCCTGCCAAGTACCCTTGATCCAGAGCTTTTACAATGCTAATGGTGAACCCCTTTTGGGGTCTTGAAGAGACAAACAGAGGTGGTTTGCGACATTGCCTGCCTCTGCACAATGACCCTAGAATTCAGTTGGAGGTCTCCCATCCAAGTACTAACCAGGGCTAGCCCTGCTTAGCTTCCCAGAACTGATGAGATAGGGCCAGCCTGGGCTATCCAGATCAGAGTGAAATTCTACTATATAACAAATAGGACCCCAAAACCCCTCATGTGTTCCATCTCCTTGGACAGGAGTTTTCAGGTTCTCAGGGAGGAGGGCAGGGCTGCTAAGCAGCTAGTCTCCCTCAGTTCTGGCTAGAGCCCCCCCCCCGACCACCCCCAGGCAATGTTCACTGGGGGATGCTGCTGGTAAAGAACGTAAGTACTGTTCCTTGTACCTGTCAGATTTACTTCTATCGGACATGACACTCAAAGCAGAGCCTCCTTGAATGACCCCGAATGCACTAAGGAATGCACAGGAGAAGTCAATCCCTAAGGTATCCTTGACCCAGAGCTTTTAGAGTAGCAAAGGTGAACAAAAAACAAGCAGTATGTATTCTTACTAATATATCTGATTTTACTTGTTGTATGTTGTATGTAATATTTGATCAATTCAATGAATCTATATTTTCTCCTACCCCCTCTTCCCTTTTGTACCCACTTCCTTTTTGAGAAAATTTTAAAAATTGATCATAAAAAACCCCAAGCAGTATGAATTGGATACAGAAGCCAACTAAAAGCCAGCGGACCTGTTTCAGAAAGTAGGGCAACAAGGTATCTGAAGCTGGCGCCAATTGACGGGTGGCTGCTTACCTGACCAGAAGCTTCTGAATACTCTTCCCAGATATCCCCCATGAGGAATACACTACCGTTCTTCATGCAGGACAGCAGACATGGGCCCTGGATTTACTTGCTGTTCCTGCCATTTATGCGTGCCCTAGCCCCTTCAGCCTTTTTAGCATACCTGTTCCAGGATGTTCTTCAGGTGAGAATAGGCCTCCTGGGGTGTGAACTTGAGTTCCATTATGAGCCGATCTAGTTTATTAATCACTAAGACTGGGCGAATGTTTTCTAGCCAGGCCTGTCGTAAAACTGCATGTGTCTAGTAAAAAAGAAGAACATGATGTGAATGGGCGTAATGTCATAAAACCGGCAAATGCAAACAGCTTATTAAATAGTTGTGGCCTGATGCAACCAAATCAGGATGCATTATTAGAGAGCAGGCTGCAGGGATGTGCCCATTTTTCTTCCTTTCTTGCATGCAAGTTACTTTTCAGAACTATGCACCAGCATTATGCACTGTCGTGAGGAACCAGGGTTTGGACTAGGTATGCTTCTCAGGATGATGAGAATTGGAACCCTGATCCAGGTTGGGTTCTAAGCACTTTGCTCTTGTCGCTACACTAATTAATATATCCCTGTCACTGCCAGTAAACCAGTATTCAATGAGACTGATACACATTTGGACTTCCATTCTGTCTTATCACAAAGATTCCAGACTGCTAACTACATACCCCTAGACCTCATACGCAGCTTTCATAACATTTTCAACCATCAATACTCTCCGACTATAGCATGATGTTTATTAGAATCTCCTCTAGCTGAAGATGTTGTTGTCTTTAAGAACATTTTAATATATTTTGCCTCAAACATTCTCCCCCACATCACCTGTGAACAGACTCCTTCCACAGCATCTACCACAACAATGCAGCCATCACAGAGTCTGACAGCTGTAGACACTTCAGAAGAGAAATCCACATGGCCAGGGGAATCTATTAGGTTGATAAGATACTCCTGATCATCTAGAAGGGAGAGGAAAAAGGGTTATTTTAAAAGTGAACTTTTTACAAGTATGCTTGCCCACTTGGAAGGCACTTATGGCACGTGGTTTCATATACCATAGGTCGGATCAGGCCAGTTATTCCCCTCTATCTTAGCCTATTCCTGTCCTCATTAAAAAACCCATCCTACACTGCTTTTGTCCACGCAGGTCCTGTGATCCTCAGCACCAGCCTTTTTCAGTAGTCAAATGGAGCCCCATCCTATCTTTTTCAGCAGTGGAAAAGCTGGTTCCTACCCAGTAACGTATATTTCCCCTCCCATCAACCAAGCCTTTGAACCTTACTCAAGGACTCTTTCTATGGGAAATCTCTTGCTCTTAATATACACAGCCCAAATACTATACATGGAATATGCTAACTGCATTACCTTTCCCAAACAGCAGCGTAATTGCACTGGATTTCATTGTAATTCCTCGAATCTGCTCATCCTCTCTGCTGTCCAAATATCTCAGCTGTGCGAATTAGAACAAAATGAATTATTCAAATGTAAGAAAGCGTGGATAGAGAAAAATAAGTATGGATATTGAAAATCTTGTACCTTTCCCGCCAGCCTACTAGAGATTATTCCATTGCTAGAAATCAGACAATCAGCTAAAGTTGTCTTACCTAGCGGGGGGGAAAACACACCACATTAGGACAAAAAGCACAAATCAACATAAAACACTAAGCAGGTGTTTCAATTATATCTTCTGCAAGACAGACTCCCTACCTAGGATATGCAATCTTTTCCTCAATCCAGCAGGGATCCATGTGCAAAGTAAATGTGGAAGAATACTGCAGTGTTCAGATGCAGTCCCCAAATGTGATCAATGTGTCAGACTAGGATCTTGAAGACCCAGTTTCCCATCCTACTTTTGCTATGAAAGCTTGCTGGCTGACTTTGCACCAGTCACTTATTTTCAACCTAAATACCGCACAGGGCTGTTGTTGTGAGAAGGGATGGGTACAAACCAGGAAAATGCAGTTTGGTTCATGGTGTGCCCAGTTCACAAACCACGAACCGTCACAAACTATTAGATGCTAAATGAACTAGTTCAGTTCATAACACAGTAGAACGCCCCTCCCCCACCCTGGTAGAGACACCAAACTCACAGGGGATCTCTGGTTGACTCTCCTTTACCTGCTCTCCAAGTGAGGACTGGATTTATGGGGTCTGAGTTACAGCCCACCCACCTCCAAGAAGGTACCCCCAGGAAAATGCTTTCTGGGAAAATGACAGGCGCAGGTTCAGGAGTGTATAGAATGGATCCTGTGCAAGTTAGATACACTGAACTCACGGGAATCTCTGGCTGATGCTCCTCTACCTGCCCTCCAAGTTTGGTGAGGATTGAATTTACGTGTCCAAGTTACAGCCCCCCAAAGGAGGAGGGGGAAAAAAGCAACGGCAATAGAAGTCCCAGAGAATCTCTCAGTAGAAGCTGAAGGGAGGGCATTTTTGCAAGTCCAGCAGAACCAGTGCTACTCTGGAACTGCAAACCCAACAGGACTAAGGTCAAGCCAGAGAACCACTGCAGTAGAAAGAGGGGAGGCCTTTTTGCAAGCCCAGCAGAACCAGTGCGGCAACGCAAACCCAACAGGACTAAAGTTAAGCCAGGAAAGTGCTTTTGGGGGAAATGTCAGGCACAGTTTCAAAGTGTATAGAATGAGATTCTCTTGCAAACAGACTGGGATGTGGTAGTGGATGGGTATGAGTTGTTTAAGGAAAAACGGAAGGGTAGAATCATAGAATGTTAAGAGTTGGAAGGGACCTTTCAGGTCATCTAGTCCAACCCCCTGCATTCTGCAGGAGCATACCTACAACATACCAGAAAGATGGTCGTCCAGCCTCCACTTGAAAACGTCCAGCGAAGGAGCATGCACCACCTCCTGAGGCAGGCTGTTCCACTGCTCAACCACTCTTACAGTTAGGAAGGAGGTGGAGTGGTGCTGTATGTGAAGAGAGGGCTAGAATGTCAGGAAGTCCTGGAGAATGTGGTTGACAGCCCCGTGGAAAGTATATGGGTGGAAATAAGGGGAGGTAGGACAAAGGGTATTGTTGGCGTCTGCTACAGACCGCCTGACCAAGGACAGGAAATGGATGCTGCCCTCCTTGAACAGATTGGTAGAGTATCCAGACATCAGAACCTTATAATTATGGGAGACTTCAACTTCCCCGATGTGTGCTGGGAGACAGGCTCAACAAAGCGACAAGAATCATGCAACTTCCTGACCTTTCTGGCCGACAACTTTCTTTTTCAAATGGTGGAGGAAGCTACAAGGGGCTCAGCCATACTGCTTAATATTAACCAACACGGAAGAACTGGTAGACGGGGTGAAGGTGGTGGGGACCTTAGGGGGAAGTGACCATGTCCTCCTTGAATTCCAGTTGCTGTGGGGGGGTCAAGGAAATTCATAACCAGACTCATAGGTTAGATGTTCGTAGGGCCAACTTCATCAAACTCAAAGGCTTGATGGGAGTCATTCCATGGGGGCGTATGCTGGAAGGGAAAGGAGCGAGTGAAGGGTGGGCTCTTCTCAAACATGAGCTTTTGCGAGCTCAAGCCCTCACTATTCTAGCAAGACGGAAACACAGTAAGGGCTCCAAGAAACATATAGATGAATCGAGAGCTTCAGAATAAGCTATGGGAGAAAAAGGAAATGTTCAGGAAATGGAGGAAAGGTCAGACTTCTAAAGAGGAGTATATGAGAGTTCCTAGGTACTGCAGATCAGCCATCAGAGAAATCAAAGCTTGGTATGAGTTGGGTCTGGCCAGGGGGGCTCGCTACAATAAGAAAAACTTCTACAGATATGTGAGAAGCAAACACAAGGTAAAAGAGGCAATTGGACCACTTTTGGGAGTAGAAGGAGAAACTCTGGTGGAGGACAGAGAAAAAGCAGACAGGCTTAATGACTTTTTTGCCTCTGTTTTCTCCCAGAAGAACTCGAGCCCATCTAGAGATGGTAGAGGACATGACATGACACCTGAGTGTCTAGTTGACATTGACAGGGAGGTTGTGGAGGGGCACCTGGCTGCACTGGACGAATACAAATCTCCTGGGCCAGATGGTGTGCACCCAAGAGTGCTCAAAGAACTTTCTAATGAACTTGCAGAGCCTCTGTCCATCATCTTCAAGGCCTCTTGAAGGACTGGGGATGTGCCACAAGATTGAAGAGCAAATGTTATCCCAATCTTTAAGAAAGGGAAGAGGGATGACCCGAGAAACTATAGGCCAGTCAGTCTAACTTCTGTTGCTGGGGAGGTATTAGAGCAGATTTTAAAGGGATCGATCTGTAAGCATCTGAAGGACAACTTAGTGATCCGGGGAAGTCAGCATGGTTTTGTCCCCAACAGATCTTGTCAGACCAACCTGGTTTCCTTCTTTGAT